ACAGACACAGACAGACACAGACAGACACAGACAGACACAGACAGACAGACAGACAGACAGACAGACAGATAGATAGATAGATAGATAGATAGATGTGCTTACATGGATTTAGACTCGTCGTGTTGGGTTGAGCTTGGAAGCTGCTGGGAAATGCAACGATGGAACTCTGAAGCAAGGCAGCCAAGTGTGAGAGCCAGCCGCTCCAAGGCAATGAACCTTCGTTGGTTATGGTTGGATGTGAAAACAAGTGCCCCGCTACACTGAATGGATGAACAGATAGCAGTCGGATTCTTCGGGGAAGCCGGACCAGCTCCCAACGGAAGCGATGCTGTCCGTTCTGGGGCGGGGAACGGAGGGGAAGGCGCTGGGTGCCCCGAGATGCAGGACTTTTCTCTTCTCACTTCGTTGGTGGCTGCACCTTGCCACTCCAGCAAGTCTCCCAGATCGAGCAGGAGTGGCCCGTAGTGAGGTTGTTTCCAATCAGCATGTGGTGTTTGTTGGCCAGTGCCTGGGTGGTGCCGCTAGCCGCTAGTGGACTGGTTGCAAATCTTTGATGCCTGGTCCTTGAAGATCTTGAAGACTCCCACTGGTCCTGAAAAAGGCTTGGAGCTGGTAGTGGCCGAGCAGAAGCTTTGAACATCCCTTGGCGATGCCATTGTCGTTGTCGTGGTCGTTTCTTCCTTTGACGGGTGGCTGGAGGAGGTGCCTCTCTGGGATGCCTCTCGCCAAGAGGCGGGGCAATTGATCTGGGAGGGATGGGCCACAAACACTCCAAGAGTTATTGTATGTTATTGTCTTTTTCTGTGTTTCTAACAGCAGTGGCCTCCAACCGACTAGCGATGGCCTCCAACCTACTAGCGATGGCCTCCAAGAGTTACTGCTATCAGCCCATCCTTTCTTTCTTTCTCCCGAGCCGGGACCTAGCAATGTACATGCCCCACGGAGTAGGAGTCCGAACGCATCGGCTGCGTAAAGGCTTGGATAAAGTATGGAAGTTGCACTGCACTAGTTGCTTTGATCACATCATTTAGGAACTTTCATTGCACAGAGGACTAGATGGCCCAGATGGCGATGCGATGTGTAGTGATATATGCATTCCAGATCATACGATGCAGTTCACATCTTCAGCTCGGGCGATAATGAGAGTGGTTCCAGATGGTGATTCAGCTTGACTCTTGGGGATGACTTGCTATACAACCGATGGATGTATAGGAGGGGACCTAGAATAAGGTAGTTCTATCATGTGATCTAGAAGGGAGTTTTCTCTTTTTTTGCGTCCCTGCGGCCACTATGACGTCACCCTGGAACCTCAGCCTAGTCATGCATGAGCTGGGATGTCACGCACACGTCTCCCAAGAAGACCCATGGACTGGGCGTGTCGCGAGCGCGCAAAAAAGATCCTGGTAGCGTCCTTGCTCCTAGTAGTGAGGCCAGGAGCCCCCTAGTAGCGTCCTCCTATCCGCACCGCGGCGTCCGTCGCTTCAGGTGGGCCGTCTGCGGATCCGTCTCACGCGCGCGCGGGGTTTGATGAACCGCGCGGGGTCGCAGATCGCCGGGGTGGAGGGAGCGGCCTCGCACGGGCTGATGGGTGCAGGCGACGTGGATGGGTGGGTGCGTGGGTTTTGGGATGTTAGGATGCTGGGGTTCTTTGGGATACTGTATGAGGTTTAGCCGCAGGAAGCAGGACACTGGAACATCGTTTTTTCCCAGGGTAGTTGGGGAGAGGGTAGGTCCGGTCGGTCATTTTTCCATTTTCGATTCCAATTGTTGTCTTTTGTGGGGATTGCCTCCTAATAATATGGGGAGGCGGAAACTCCAACCCACAGCAGACCAGAAAGAAGTCTTCTCACCCACTGATGTGTGGAAGTTGCGTCGGTGTATGTGTTTCAATCTGCAGATTCCACAGCCCAAGCTTTGAGATGAACCGGATTCCACCCCACTGGCCTTACATAGACTGTTCTTGGGGGAGGTCCTTCGCTCCCGCCCGGCGGCCTGGTGAACCGGGCAAACACCGCTGGCCTGGCGGCGGAGCCGGGCACGGGCGGGCGCTCGGGGCCTCTGGGCTCGCTGGCGAACTATGCCGGAGCCTGAGATGGAAGCGGAAGCTGTGTTTGGTGGGTCGTTGGTGTTGGGAAGGTCTGGTTTGGTTTATGAGGGATTTGGCTTCAAGACCACTGAGAGGTCAAACATCACGAAAAATCTAGGACTGGACAGGCTCAGGAGATGGATCTGTCTTGAGTGATTTTCGTTCAGAACCTTAGTGGAGACTGGCCTTTCGTCGGCATGGACACCTGCCTAGTTCGTATGCTCTCTCCATGAGAGACCTAGCCTAGTTCTTGATGTTTTTGCAGAGAGCCCGGTCCTCAAGGGAGCTCCGGTCCATCCTGCGCACGCCGCCCATTCGATGTGCCGAGGGCCGGGCGGCCACCAGCGACATGGAAAGCCGGCCTGCTTTCGCGAGAGGCGCGGTGAGGAGGTGGTGAGGAGAGGAGGAGGACCGGCCCCATGAGGTGCAAGCTTTATGCATGCTGCCGTGCACCAGGTGCCTGCTACAGAAGTGCTGCTCTTGCAAAATCCGGTGCTGCAACCAAAAGCCCGTCTGTACAATCTCGGGAATACTGGCCACCAAGCCCGAAGCCGCTCAGGATCCTGAATGCCAAGTCCTATAGGGTCCACTATAGCAAGAAGGAATGCCACCCCATACATCATGTTGTCCTTTACCCCTTTACCCCTCGCTTTCAGCACGAGGGATCATCCCAGGCTCCAGCCAGACGCTCGCCAACCTGGCAGCTGAGGGGGTCCCAAGATTCGATCGAAGAAGCGTCGGTCCCTTCCGTCACGAAACAAGCTCGCTCCCGAAGAAAGACCCACTCGGAGATGGAGAACTGGGGCCCAGGCCAGGCACGAATCTATACAAGAATCGATATACCCAGTGAACCTAAGTCACTGGTGGCCACAAGTCCTAAGTCACCGGTCCCCAGTATACTTCTTAGTTTTGTCTTCTTCACCTCCCTTTTGTTGGGGAGCGCAACCAGCTATGCAGTCAGACATGGAGGGTTTGGGCACCTCCGAGGCCCGTGAGGACGGCAGCCGCCCCGACGCGGTGCGCCGCTCGGGGGAGCTGCTGGCCGAGGCGGAGAATCCCTGAGTCGGTCGGTCGGATAGGGAAAGGCCCGGAAAGCCATCTGCCAGTGATGCGGGGGGGTCTAGAAAACTACGGTTTGCTTTAGGAGATGTTCCCTGACGAAAGATCCATGGATCTCCAGTTGGGGAGAACTCGAGGGCGACCAGTTTGGACCCTCCAGTCGAAGGGAGTTGCCAAGGAATGTGACCGAAGATGCATGACAAAAGCTCCCATGGATGGAGTTTTGTCGGGGCAGGTTTCGGTCTTTGCCCTGTGCAGGGGATACATAATTAAACACACACACACACAGATATATATATATATACATATAAATATCCAACGAAACACACATGACATCCCGACAAACGCCAAGGAACTGAACACCGACTTGTCAGATCTTCCAGTCCGGTCCTTTTGGTATCCAAGGAATTTTTCGCCTGAGAACACCGGTGCCGCCCCCGGTGGCACGACGGTCCCCTCAGGTGGACCCTTTCGATGCCAGTCGGGAGGAGCATCGACAGAAGCTGGCGCAGGCAGTCGAGCGGCTGAGGTGGGGAACTGGGGAACCCTTTCTTTTTGGAGGGGGAGGAGGCCTTACAAGTCAAAGGAGGCTGCGATTGGGTGGGTGCGCTGAGTGTGCTGTCATGTTGTTTGTTTGGTTGTTTTATGTTGGTTTTGTGGGGTTCTTGAACCAATACGCTATCATTAGGTTCCGCCCGCCTTGACATCTCCGGCCAGATGTGCCTCCGACACAGACTTGTCGGGGCCTTTGGGGCAGCAGGCTTTGCAGGGCTGTGAGGCACGGATACAGGCGCGGAGGGCCCCTGCGGGGAGAGGCTGACCGAGCTGGGGGTTGGTGGACGACGGGATGACGAGCATTTTCAGGAACGGAAGAGCCAACTTAGACTGGTGGAAACCCACCACTCCCAGGCCCTCTTCGACGACGCCATGCAGCGGCGGAACGAGAAGGATTCGCTGGGTGTCAGGGGTGGTCGAGGCAGGTAGCATGAAGCTGCCAGGGTAGGACGAAACCTTTCTCCAGTGGAAGCTCCAAGAGCATTTTAGCTGTTCAAAGGTCCCTCATTCTCTCAATCCACGGAGTTTCGGCGGGTCTTCACCGGTCTGCTTCACCTCCTGGACTGCCTAGGACACCCATGGCGCACTTTGGCTGGCGGGGCGGCTGCCCTCCCCAGAGGAGGCGGAGGCTCCGGAGATCCGTCGGACGAGGAGTCGGCGAGGTGCCGACGTGCTTCGTGGCACTCGGGACTTGCTTCGTTGGCAGGTGACCTTACAGCTGCGACTGCGCCAGAAGTGGGACCTCCACTCCTTGAAAGAGGCGACTCCGACTCCGACTCCGACTCCGACCCAGCATGAGAGGCTCCGTTGCTAGAGAAAGTGGCAGACATTCGGTGCATTTGGCTGAGCAGCCATGCCATAGAAGTCAGATAGGAGCGCAAACCTGCAAATAAGGTCCAGAAGCTACAAACGGTTGTGGTTTCACTTTCTTCTTGTTGGTGCACCACAATCTTTTTATTTGTTTTGAGCAATTCTTTAGGTGAGGCCCCCGGTTCCCCCCTCTACGAGCAACCCCACCTTCTGCATCCTTCTGCCACATGCTCGGACGGCAAGGCCCTGAACCGGGCGGCCGCGCGACGAGCGGCAGCGGAGCAGGGCGGCACAGAGTTGGAGGTGCGCGAAGAGTGTGCAAGTGGAATTCCTCTTCTTTCCTCTTTCGGGATGGGGATGGGTGGTCATGAGTCATGACCTCAAGTTTGTTCACTGAATTTCAGAGTTCAACGGCCCCCGCTTAGCTGAGCACTTAAGTGCTCACCACAACTAAGTGCGGTACCTGCGACTTCCACACCTAGCGGGTGAACGATCTGATCTGGCCAGGATTTCATGGATGCTCTGGATCTGGCCGAGCGTCTTGGAGCACGGAGACGGGAGGGTTCACAGCCGAGCATGGCCGGTGGCCACCTGTTTCTCCGGCAACCCGCCCGAAAGATTCCAAACGCCTTTCTTTCAACCAGGGCTGTTCCTGCGTTTTAGAACTCTTGGTTTCCCGCAGTCCTAATTTGTGCGCTTTTGCGCTCAAAAGCGGGTACAGACGCACGACAAACATGACACTATGAGCATCTATGAGCCAACATAGGAGCCTCCTGGTAGAAGACAGCCGTCTTCGAATTGAACAGAGGAACCTTGGCAGGTGCTTGTTAAAGTCTGGAGCCTTTTGCTTTTCTGCCATGAGAGTCCCAGACCTGACCAGGAACTAAAGGAACTTCTTTGACTTCAGTGGAACTCAATCAAAGTCCTTCGACTTCTAGGGTCTTAGAGTCTATATATATATATAATGAAATCTAAGAGTTTTTCGCCATGTAAATCTAGAAGACTTCAATTGGTTTGAATCCATGGCTATTTGAGTCCATTAGACTTCCAATGACTCCATCGCTCTTCAGTTGCTGACTTCTTTCGACCCAGGGAGATCACGCCGACGCCACGACCGACCCCGAGGTTCCACGGCCGCGCCGAGCCTGAGCGCGCGGCCGCGGCGGTGGAGCAGTTGTTGAAGCCGCTGGAGCGGCGGTGGGGGCGGCCCGTGGGGCACATGGGCGGGTTCAGAAGCTCCAGTGTTGAAACCAATTCCTGCCTCACTGGACGTATGGGTGTTGTGCAGACTTGGGACTCCAAATTCGGTCGAGGGACTAAGAAGACTCGAACTCCCAAGGTTTAAAAGAAAGCTGGCCTCTTCAGTTGCTGAGGTTTCCTGCCGTCAAAGTTAAAGGATGGTTTGGTTGCGGGGCTCATGTACCACCTGATGCAGACACAGCTAGACGACAAGTTGGCAGCCGCAGATGGTGTGTTCGTGAGGAGAAACCTTTGGCGGGCACAGTGCAACAGCTGCTTGAGAGGAATGAACTCGACAAGGCACGTTGCGGTCTCTAGGACTTCTTTGGGCTTAGTTCCTCTTCTGATATATAGACAGTATATATGCACATGTATATGTATACATATGTGTACTTGTCATGGGTGCCAAAATTTTCCTCAAGGTGTGATGGGTGTCAACATCACTGAAGAATGGAAAGACGCGCTGAACACCCACAAAACACCTCAGAAGTTGAGAACATCACCACGCTAGTAGTAACAGGTGCCTTACTAGTAGTAACAAGAAGCTATTAGGAACAAGTGCCTTACTAGTAGTAACAAGAAGCAAGTAGAAACAAGTGCCACGCTAGTAGTAACAAGTGCGTGCATCGCTTGTAGTAACAAGTGCCTTACTGGTAGTAACAGGTGCACATCACCATGTTCGCCAGGCGGAGGCGATCTTCGGCGCGCTGGGCGCCCGGCGCACGGAGGCGCTCCAGTTGCAGCCCTTGCAGCAGCGGGTGCTGCGGGAGAAGGGGTTGCAGCTGCTAAAGGTGCCCCAGGGGGGCAGGGATGAAGCATCGGATGAAGGGGTGTAGACTTTTGATCAATAAACCAGCCCAGACATCGGTTGAACACCTCTTCATCACGTTTGTTTTGTTGTTGTGGGGGTTGTGTAATCGAGAGTCTACATGTATGCCGCTCAACTGGACGTGGCAGGGATGAACGGTTCAGACCATAACGCTACATGTTGTCTTCTTCGGAGTGTCGTGCAGTCTTGGTCGAAGGATCTTTTGGAAGAGGGCCTAGTCTGATGGGTTTGATTCGTTGATCATGAGCTCCTTAACCTGATTGAACTGCAGGTTGGGGTGGAGAGAGCTGAGACTTGAACCCGTTGGCATATATAGCTACGGTATGTACTGTAGTACCTTACCGTGGCTTGCTGCCACCTCAAATTGATGGCCTTCGCTATCTGACTTTTATGCAGATAGCGCTGGATGGGTGTCTCTTGAGTCTCTCTCTCTCTCTCTCTTTCTCTCTCTTCATCTTCACCGCGACCAATTTGTTGGCCGGGTGACACTGACAGCCTGGGGAAGAATCATGAAACATCACCTGCACTTGGACGGCCGACCTCCAGCCACGTGCAGGCCGCGCTTTGGCCCGCGGCCGGGCAGTGCCGTGGGCGGAACGTTCGTTCGGGCGCAGGTTCCGGCGCGTGCGGAACCGGCCAACCCACGTTCTGGCGCGTGCGTGGACAGCGTGGCAGTGAATCTGTTCAGTTTTGGGGATCCTGTCTTGCAGGGGGTGCTTTTGCTAGGGGTCGAAGGCGCGGAGGAAAGCCTTACGTGGCAAAAAACGGCAGGTCATCCAGACTTGTTCGCGGACCAAGGGCGCTAGGGTAGCTGAGGGTAGGTGCGATGCCACTCATTTAACTGCGATGCCGATGCCGCCCAGGCATGGCTTCCCCGAGCTCAAGCGCCGCAAGCTGCGCCATGCCATGCTGACAGCGCGTGCCTCGGCGAGAACGAAAGGGATGCGAGGGGGAGCGCGCCTCTGCTCGCTGTGAACGACATCCCCGTCCGACGGTGGTCCAGTGTGTTTCCTTCCGTGTTGCTTGATTCAAAGTCGGCGTTTCACCCGCCACTGGGGCTCTCAGGGGTTCTTTGGCAAGGAGTTTCCCTTTGAACTGATCCTTGCTTGTTCGATCCTCTTGTTTTTCTTCGGCCAAGCTCGAAGCTTCGGGATTAGGCTTGAAACGGTGGGCTTCAGAACACTGCAAGGGATCAATTCTTGATAAGCACCACTTCGGACGTTTTTCTCTCGGGAGGTGTTTTTTTTTTTTCTCTCGCACCGATCTGCCAGGAAGTGCCATGGATGATCCTGCGACGCTGATTTGCTAAAGTGGGCTGGCAGGAGAGTTTCCCCCAAAAGACGGAGTCAGGCAAATAGATCCTTGGTGACTGCAAGATGCTGGAACTATTGGCAGCCACTGCCACTCCATTCCGGGTGATGCATGATGTGTTCCCACTTGCAGGTGATGCTCGGGTATATATATATATATATGTATAACTTATATATATATAAGATTTAGAGACTCAAGTTGTACAAGGGTAGCATTCAAGCGGGCATCAGCTGGGGCATCAGGCCATGGGATTGGCCCCACAAACAAGGCACCGCATCAGGTCGGCTATGGCCAGACAGATGGGCATGCAGCGCACCGGCAACATGGACATTGTGTACGACATGCAGCCAAGGCATAAAGACCCAGATTTTGAGGCTTCCGCTAGCCAGATCAAGATCTACCGCCAGTTCTTTGGAAATTGGCCTGAACATCTCCACCGAGACCTGGCCAAGGCCTGGTAAGTCACCAAAGACAGACTCAAGCAAGAAAAATACCCCTGGCAAGTGGTCAGGGGACCAGTGGCAGCACTCATATGCTACCTGCATGACGGAGGTTGGGACACTACGCGCTATGACAGGTGGACAAAGCCAGGCTCAAACGGAGAAGATGACTTCGAGCTGAACATGCATGCATCTTGGTTCTTCATCAAAGAGGAGTTGAGCAGGGCCCAGGTGAGAGAACGCATTTGCAACATCCAGAAAAGGACCATGCTGCAAGATGTACAGCAGCCTTTGGATTGGGTGCCATGGAAAGGATGGCTAGCCAAGCCTAAGCCAACCCATGCACGAAGACTGCCTTGCAAACATGGCACCAGGGGGCGATTTTCACCAAGATGTCAGAGGGAAGTGAGCAAGGACACCTGACATGTCCACACTGCAACCAGCCAGCTACGGCCATCCACCTGCTATGGCTATGCAAACAGACGAACAAGAACTGTCCCCCACTTGACGGGGCTGACCAGAAAGAAATAGAGCAAGGCATCAACCTCGAGTTCTGGGCACAAGGGCTTCTACAAATGCCGGAGGTCAAGATATCCACTGGCGGTGCAGCCATACAGGCATGGGGCTCCATGACAGAACTTTGCGCTATTCAGCTCAAAGGCCTGGAGACCATGACCATTGGCATAGCCACGGCCAGTGGAGACAGTCCGGTGAGGCACTACATCGTCACGATTGTACACCACACCATGTTCGCAGGCGAGATGTTCAGAATGGGGGCAGTGACAACTGTGCTTCCAGGCAAACAGAGGCAATGCAGGTCTTGGTACTATGGCATGCGGATGATTGCACACTATGTGGATCTGAGTGTTCCAGTTCGGGTCCATGAACTGTCTGTGAAAGCACGGGAAGCTTGGGTGCATGGAAAACACCTAGACTCCTAGACCACTTCTTTGGCCTCTCATCCTTGAGTGACTTGGGACCAACGTCAAAGGGTCAAAGCCCTCAGCATCACCAAAGCACAGCTACGGGTCATGCCAACCACAGGATCTTCCTTGAGAACTAGATACAAGGACGCCAGCAAGGCTGCCATGGAAGTGGCTATTTCCAGAAGGCCACTGGGCCAAGAACGAGAACTTCGCGAGCAAGACAGGAAATACAACAGAGTGGCCCCTTTGGCAGTGCAAAGGACCAAGTATCTCCTTGATACACCAGATCACTTCATCCATGAACAAAAGGCCACCGGCAAGGACAGGCGCCAGAAGACCAGAGACGAGAAGAAGGCTCTCTTCCTGCAGATTAATGTCACAGGAAAGGAAGAAGGGCATCAATGGACACCAAAACGAAGTGGGCTTGAATGCGCACAATGCCAATGCAGGATTCACCAGCACATGTCCATCCAACAGCTCCGCAATGCCAAAGAAGAGAAGTGCGAGCTTGCCCAAAGCTTGCCAGTGAAAGGAGGTGAACCACAGCTTGAAACCAAGCAGGCCTTTATTAAAAGGATCCTTGAACACCGGGAGCCGGATGGACACGAGCTCACGATCCAGAACCACTACCTGGTGTGCGGCAAATGTGGGCTGCGCACCCTGCGCAACTCCGCAGGAGAGAGAACATAGAGCAGCTGCATCAAAGCCCATGCTGGAATGGTCCACACGATGTACCAGCCACGTGGGCTGGCAACCCCACACACATCCTGACGCGCAGAGGCCACAAAGTATGGTGCAAAGTATGCGAGGCATGCGCAATGCCAGCGGGAGACAGCTGGAAGGCAAGCAAGGCATTGCAAAAGGCGTGCAGCAAGGCAGAGGAGCGAAAGCAACTTCCTCTGACCTTCAAGGCCAAAAGGGCCAATGAGCAGATGTGAAAAAGGTCCGAGAAAACATATAAGAGTTAGAGAGTTAGAGGGGGCCCAACGTGCGCAAGCCCAAGCCCCTCACTGTTTCGAGCAGGCATATTCCTCCGGATTTGGACAATGACATGTTAGAGTGGCCGTTTGCCATGCACACGCCCCAATTATATATATATATATATATTTATATAACACTAATTTGTGGTGGCCTGTGTGCACATGCACATGCACATATCATACTTTTCATATATCTGCAGATTGAACCTGTTCTCTTTCATCGATTTTCAGGTTAGTACACCTCCAACACGCACCAACAGTACCACACCTAGTAGATCAGGTGCTAGTTGCGGCCCCGGTCTTTTTTGGAAGGTCAGCTTTCCACGACGGGTTTTACAGAGAAGACTTCTCCACGACTCCACAACCTCTTCCACGCGACCTCCACCTCCACCCAAGGAACCGGAAAGCCCTGGGCTCCATGATGCTGGAGGTCGGCTGACTCGACGGACCGTCCGGGTGGTCCGGAGGTGACCGGAGGTGACCGGAGGTGACCGGGGGGATACCGGGTGGGTACTGGAGACTTTTGGGGGTTGACCCCGCGTTCGGGGTGCGTGTTGAAGAGGACCCAACTCACCGAGGGGCTGGCACAGTCACAGTAGGGTGGGATGGGCGCCATTGGGCGCCAGAAGTCGTCTCTCTCTCCTCTCTCTCTCTTTCTCTCGCTTCTGAAGTGGGTCGATTCCAACGTCCGGTCGACGGTTCGTCGCTGAAAGGGCCACGTCGTTCGTTCTCCCCGCTCACATCCATCGGGCTGGGCCCAAAGTGCGTGTGACCTTAGCACTCGGGCTTGTGTTGTGTTTTCTTCTGGTCCTAACAGGGGAATGGAGCAAAACTTGGTGGGTGAAGTGGGCAGCGCTGGCACCGGCGTCGGGCTGGGCTGCGTGTGCTGTGGAAGCCGGGAAGAGCTGTTGGTCTTTGAAAAGTTTTCAGGTGCCTTTCAGTCTGCATGTCGTCATGCAGCCTGTGAACCTTGCTTGCGGAATTGGACCCTGAAAGAGCTTCCCAAGTGCCGACAACGCTGGATGCTGCGAGTCGAGTGCCCCTGCCAGACCTGTGGCCGACAAGTTCCCCAAGCCTTGCCGCTGAAGGTGTCTGCGCATGCACGAGCCCTCGCCGATGCCATCGATGCCTCGTCCGCCAACAAAGTGGCTGATCAGCTAGTCCAGTGGCCGGGCTGGCCCAATGAAGCCTTAGTGTGCCCACGCTGTGGGGAGGAGCAAGACCAAGTTCTTGTGAACACTGCCTGTGGTCATGGAGCTTGTCGAAACTGCTGGCTAGCAGATTTGCCGTCGAAGTTGGAATGGTGCAAGGCCTACTGCGCACTGGATGTCCCTTGTGGGCATGAAGGTTGCAATGAGGGGTGTTTTGAAGTGCTCAAGCATTTGGACAGCCCAGTGATCCCGGAGGTAAAGAGATACGTTGAGCAAGTTCAATCCGACCTACTTGAATTCTCCCCTTGGTGCGTGCACGAAGCGAACGCAGGTGCTCCAGGCCCTGTTTGTCCCTCTTGTGAGTACCGGGTCACCGCGCTCCTGCATTGTTCCTGCAAACAGCGCGTTGCATGCAAGCAATGCTGGGACTCCGATTTCAAGTACGAGGTTTTTCGGTGCAAGAACACCTCCGCCTTCGTACTGCATCAATTGCATGGCACTTCATGCCAAGGGTGCTCCTCGCACCGTGAATGCCTTACCAAGGCCTACAATAAGGCCTTGAAGCGTGCAGCCCCGTATGCCGCTCCTCGCGGGACAATTGCTCCTACCTGCCCAATTTGCCAAGAGGCGCTGGTCTCAACAATTAGTCAGGACCGCGCAGGCGGTTCAAGCTCCCCGTAGTGCAAACGAAGATTCTTAAGGACTCCCACAGTTTTGGAAGTAAACACCGGGGGCTTCCTGCGGATTTTTCTTGGACCGACCCATTGAACTGTGACAGGTTTCGCTGGTGCTGCTATGCGCCAGCCGGACGCATTATTGGCATGCGGCCTGCGAGCGATGTTGGATGAGCTGGGCGGAAGGACAGCTGGACAAATGCTTCGCAGAGAAGAAGCTTCCTCGATGTTTGTGGCCACAGTGCCAGGTGTCTATGGCAGGCGGGGGCTCAACATATGGCAAACATGGACAAACCATGTCAAAGCATCTAGACGGGGGGTCTCTGTGTTGGTGAGGTTTTGGGCGCCAAAGGTTGTAGGATGTGCCACAACATGAAAGCTCCAACCTGTTGGTGCCAAGCCAAAAGCAACCTGCCACAGATTCAGCGATGCGCGCTTGCCACAAAAAGCCACACCGTTGATCTTGGGACTTGTTCTAAATTCCAAATATATGAAAGCTCAACCCTGGCAGATAAAGAAAACTTCTTCGCAAAAGACTGCGTTTGGGAGCTCGTCCAAGACTCCTGCTACTCCAGCTCGGAGCTTAAAGATTTTCTGGGCAAATTAAAACTCCGCAAGCGCTTGCAAAGCAACCCCTTCTTCCCCGCTGCTCTTCAAGTGGAATGCCCTCGGCCTCGGTGTCTGGGAATTGGCTACTTGGGCTATGACACGGTGATGTGCTTCTTGTGCGAGCATCAATGGGAAGATTCAGGAGAAAAGCCCTTGAAGCTAAGCGGAGCATGCATCGATGAACTTGAAGCGGCAGGTGTTCGAGTTCAACAATGCCCCAAGTGCCATGAATACATTGAGAAGAACGGCGGTTGTGATCATATGACCTGCCGATGTGGTCACCAATTTTCGTGGACCACTCTGAAAACCTGGGGCTCACTAGTTGCTCAGTAGTTCAAGCCACGAGCCTATGCATGAGAAAACTCTTGCACTGACGCTACTCTGCGGCAATAACACAGTTTGCAGATCACCCTGAAAATGCTGACTACAAGTTGAAGGATTAAGGTACTCATGTACTGTAGTTTTGTTTGGCATCTTGCTGGAGCTGGAGATCTCGGCACCATGCAGCATTGGACGATGGGCTGTTGGCGAGTTCAGAGTTTTGTGTACAGATGTACAGCTGGGTGAACCGTCGCGGGCCAAAAAGCGACTGCGCTTGGCTCCTAATAGTGTCCTCGCTCCGTTCGTAGCGATGCCAGGACCCCCTAGTAGCTTCTTATTACTAGTAGCTACTTGCTCCTAGTAGTAAGGCCAGGAGCCCCTAGTAGCGAACCATCGCGGGCCAACAAAAACTGAGATGCATGTTGAGTGGTTCGCGGGAAGCTGAACAAGCCAATGCTTGAGCCATGTTGAGATTCACCTCGACGGCCGCGTGATCCCATCTTGCACGTGATGTTTTTCTGCCTACCGAGATCCAAACAATCATGGAAGTGGAATACAGTCTCTCCGTAAAGGAAAGCAGTCTTCCAACAACAACCATGTGCCACGTAACCAGGTTTGTTGGATGGTAGTTTTTTGGGAGACTTGCCTGATTTGCACTGCCTCAATGCAGGTCGCTGGGCCGTGCTTCGCACACTCTACAGAGAGCGCGGCGTGGTTCTTGCGGGCCTATGGGGAGCTCTTGCCCGAGGAGCAGGCACTGTGGTGAGGAGGGCGCTTGTTCAGGGCGGTGTTTGGCATAAAGCTGGTGGGCAAAGATGTGTGTTGGAAGACGTCCTTTTGCCAGTGTCGGTTGCGGGGAGTTTGGATTGGTTTGGGCCTTGACTTCGATGGTTTGCAATTTCGTGTTGGGCGTGATTCTCTGATAGCTTCAAGTCATTTCCTCCCAACTTTGACCTATCAAGCTGCAGACAAAGGCCTCAAGTCTTGCAACTAATCAAGATCAAGAGCTTCAGAGTCTGTTTAGAGGACGTATCGTCTCATCTCCTCAGCTTTCAGGTCAATCCTGCCATTCAGAGGTTGGTGCGAGAACGCCCTGATCAGCAGCCCGGACAAAACGTGTTTGTGTCCTGCTGAGGCTTCAAGGTGTCAACGTGTCCGGCTCCAAGGACCATTGCCATTGAAAGCTATCCGGCTACTGAAAGCTATCCGGCTGTCCATAGGTTTCAACAGGGGGGGCCTGGGTGTGGGGGGGAGGGGTGAAGTAGCCATGAACCAAATGTCTAAATGTTCGTTTGTACATTAAGTACTTGTGCGGCAACAAAAACAATAAAGAATGCATGCACACACACACACTCACACAACATACTATGATCAACAGACTCTGCCTGTCCAAAGCTACATACCATGACTTGCCGTGATCAGAGACCTTTTTGATCCTTTTTGTGTAAAACAACTTTGGTGTGTCGCACAGTTGGTGAATCCATCCGTCCAAAGCTATTCATCCCTCCTGTGCCATTCTGAGGATTGCGGCCATCTTGACCGAGACCCAAAAATTGCTGGAAGAAATCGGCCGTGAGGTGCCCGATGCTTGGCGTGCCCAGTGGGCAGCGCAGGGCGGTTTGAACAGCTGGAGGGGTTGAAGCAAGCAAAGAAAGCAGCATAGACTACTTCCACGACAGATACATAGATCGCCCAAGGAGGGTCCCGATGCCGTGCCATTGAAGAGAGGGAGCCATCGATCATGGCAAGAGCAACACCCCACAGCCCCAGTTCTACATGTTCCAAACGAGCACCCAGGTGTACACCCCAAAACCCTGTAATCTTGGCGGGTGAGACAAGACTGCAGACTTGTGCATCGTCTCCGAGGAAGAAGGGTTTGAACCCATGTCAGGGCCCCACTGGGCATTCACTGAACATTCACTGGGCTACTGTACATTCTGCCTTGTTGAACCATGAAATGACGCCCCCGAAAAAAGGTCATCATCATTTGCACATCCTGCGTTCATAAATGCGGACGTGGTCTGAGACATCAACCCAAATCTTGCAGAACATGGATGCTCTAACCAATCAGCGACCTCTCAAGGGATCATGCAAAACTCCTGGGGAGAACTGAGTGAAACCCCTGAGAGGGAGCAGACAGGAGGCTCACCCAGTAGGCCCCCCAGTAGGAGACCTCTCGCTCACCCAGTTCTTCTTCATGGACTATTGGGTGAGACCACATTTTTCGTGCTGGTGGCCAGAGCTGGGTGTTTCACCCCAGGATGGCTTGCTGCCCAGCGAGTGGCAGCAGCTCCACCGAACCGTGCGGGAGGCACTGGCGAAAGGCCTCTTGGCCAGCTAGAAGGACCGCCACGGGCCGAAGGCATCCTTGGGGTGGCGGCTAAATAGGAAACGCCGTAGATTTGGTTCATTTTTGCGAAGATGCGGAAGCCACCAGTAGAGCGAGACATGGCGGGGTGGATGGATGCTTTTGCGGTGTGCCCTTCGATCTCAGGAGATCGAACGACACCATTCTAAACAAATGATGCCAATTTGTTGCGACGGTTTGCTAGGAACAAGTGCATCGCTTCTAGTAACAAGTGCCTTACTACTAGTAACAAGAAGCTATTAGGAACAAGAATGCTATTCTACAAACAAATTTGTTGCCAATTGAATTCAGGGTGTCCCAATTCATGTCTTGTGAGGTCAAGGCCGCCTCTTCGGCGCTCGGCTGTGACTTCGGCGCACCCTCGTCTTTTCGATCAGGTCCTCCTTGGGCAACACAGGTCGAAGCTCCATATTGGTTTGGTGGAGGAACGGCGACCGTAAAGCTTGGACGACGTGGTCGGAACCGAGGCAACGACGACCAGTTGAAGGTGGCTTGTCAGAAGCTCATCGACAGCCCGGCAGGTTCGGCCCAGCGGGAGGACCCGAGTCGAGTGGGATGAGGGGAAGGCAATCAAGCACTACAGATGACGGTCTTGTTTCGAAGATGGGATTGGCAGAGGCCATATCACCATGCCTTGGTGGATTCAGGCAGGCCTGGCAGGCATGCCAGGCATGCCATCGTGCAGGTGTCTTCTACAAACGGGATCTGCAAGAGGTGGTGGGACGTCTCCGGAGTGCCTTCCGGCTGCCCCCGTCCTGGTCGGTGGAGTCGATGCTGCGAGGCTGACGGGCTGACGGTCTGAAACGGCTTCTGACTGCGAACCGTGAGGAAACTGGGGTGAGCGGATAACCCTTCCACAAAGGGATTTCCAAGGTTTTGATGAGGCTTGGCTTTGTAAAACGACATGCTTCTTGTGCTCATATCTCACGGCTGTGGTGCCTGTTCTATCAAGCCGAAGCCTGCATCGCTCTTGGTAGGTTCTGCTGACAAGCTCTTGGCCAAGAACGAGGTCACTGACGGCACTTTGCTTCGACTCTTCGATGAGCGCCTGGGACTCTTCGCGCTTTCCGCGGACGTCTTCGGTCACCGTTCCGGAACGGTGTTTGGGTTCGGAAGTGCGGGCAGCCAAATAGGCTGTTAGCTGGCGATAGGCCTGGCAGGCCTGGCAGGTGAAGATACTGCCATGAACTTCATGAACCTTTCGGCGTCTCAGAGGGCGAAAGATTGCCCCTCATGATTCGGCTTTCATTGGGGCGCTTGATATGCAACATTTATGGCATGGCATGGCTTCCGCAGCCATTCGGGCTGAAGAGACTCCACCCTCCACACTCGACCTGTTAGGAGCAACCCGCCCTGTTTGGAACATGGCCCGCCTCAGCAGCCTTGTCGTGCTGGCGGCCTGCGCTCTGCTGGCCCGTCATGTCTCCACACTGCTCTTCGCCAACGCGCCGAGCACCTCGTCGCGAAGCTTGCGCATGGCACAGCAGGCGGTGGACGAGCGGGACGAGGGGCTGGTGCTCATCAAGCCAGAGGAGTCCGGCAAGGTGCTGGGCTGGTGCCAGTTTTACATCTTTTGGTCGCGGTCATTTGACGTCAGGTGGTGCAACGCGGTACAGTTTCTTTGCTAGCTGCTAGGTATTTTGTTCGCCGTCCCTGGGTTAAGTTGTTTCAACGTCGATTCTTTCCGCGGCCGGGAGAACCAAAGACCCACTTCAGCCCAAGAGTCCTCTCCGCTTTATAAGCTCACTGGTCCGGAGGTGGTGAAGAGGGACAAGTTCAACAACCCTCCTCGGATTGTGATGAAGACCAACGACTGGGACCAGCCCGAGATTCAGTTGAGCACGGGCGCCAGCAACCAGATCAACTACATCACCCCGGTGGTCCAGTCCGATGATATCAAAGCCTGGTTGTCGCTGAATGTGAACTTCTTCGCCATCATCGGGCTCACCACGGTAGGGGGTCTCATCGAAATCCAGCGCTTCTTCCCGGACACTCTGTACTGGTGAGGTGTGAGGGCGATATCGGCTCCCCAGGGGGCCGTGTCATGAGGGTCTCGAGCAGCCTTTTTGAAGGGCGCCGGCCGGCCGAGGAACGGCGCAGCCCAGGAAAAGGTGGGCGGAGCGGCGCATCGCGGGCACATTGAGGATTGGACCAAATCTGTGGTTTTGGGTCCCCTCGCCTGGTTGGTTCAGAATGGCAAGAGGAGGGGAGGCCGACTTTGACCATTTTTAAGAAGCTTTGTGGGTCGCCAGAGATTTGGTCCATCACATGATGTGCAACGGATGTTGCTGGATATTTTTCGGTTCAGTTAGTGTTCAGAATGGGCCTCCACCCAAAACCCGAGGCCTGCGAAACACTATGTAGACGAATGCAGATAGCTTGGTTGCTCAGCGGCTAGGAAACCATGGAACCACATGAGTGTTGGAACCAAGATGTTGTATATGGCACCATATGCATGTAGTACCCCGTATCACACACACATACATATATATGATTAATTATGATGGTCCATGATGGTTATATAACAAATCTACTGTCCCAATCTTGTATTCTATTGCATACTGGGCTCTGCCTATAGCCATGCTAAAAGCACACACACACATACACACCCGTACACCTACATATTGGGCTTGACCAATTACATGTAAGAGTCAGTGAACAGTTATCACTATTTTAGAGAAAGGCCTTTACTAACTAACCATCATCATCCACTGCTACTGGTCATAGGACAGACCCAACTTACATATGTAATCTTGGTCGTCACGTGTTTGGGGTCATGCATGCTTCATCATCATCAAGCACCGATGAGGCTCTTGCGAAGCACCGCCCTGCCACACGTGCGCACGCGCGACCGACGAGGCCTACCGCCCAGGTGGGGGTGTGTGGGTGGGTGGGAGATTAAGTGAAGGATCCGAAAGATAAAACTGGGACCACACTTTTCGGATCCCAAGATGCAGCTTTAATACGCGCTGGGATGCTGGGATTTGTTTAGACTTTTGAGATTTTTGGATCTTAGTCTTTATATTCTCTCCCTCTCCTGGCCTGTGCAACGTTGTTCAAATAGCTTCTGATTGTATCGTTTTGTCCCCTTACCAACTGTTTGCCGCAATGCCACTTTAAAGAGAATGCGTGAGCCCAAATCTCTCATACATGTTTACCCGTTCTCACCTTCTCAGCTTTCCTGACCGTCTCACATACAAGCCTCCGACAGTAGATTCTTGACATCATTCAATCCAGGGTGGCCTCTCTGCCTGGGTGGCCTGTCTTTTTGCCTTTCCGTCTGATCATGTGACAAGCCTCCAGTCCTCTTGGAGGAGTTCCCGGCCCAGGAACTTTCGTGCAGTGAAGGCGGTGCAGATCATGAATGCCCCATGTTGGGCCAGCTACTTGCAGAGGCGCAGCCAGCGAAACAAACCTGGAACCTGGAAACCAGCAACTGACCGAACCAACCAAAGGTACAAATGTCCCAAGTACGGGACACCTGAGCGGAGCTAAACAACTGTATATACATAAACAAATATATATATATATACATACATATATCATACATATATATATATATATACATCCTCATTGTTGCATGCTTTTACTCAACATTTGTTTTCTGGTCTCCAGCGTTTGATGCTTTTACTCAACATTTGTTTTCTAATCTCCAGTTTGAAGAGAGAAGAGAGAAGAGAGAAGAGGAAGAGAGAAGAGAGAAGAGGAAGAGAGAAGAGAAAAGAGGAAGAGAGAAGAGAGCTAAGTGTTTGACCCTCATGGGGTGTGGCCCAATTTACCATGCCTTGGATTCGCCGCTTCGCCCCGTTCACAGGCGCGACCATGTTCTGCAGCAATGCCTGAAGGTGAAGGCGGCCGTGAAAGATTCAAGATCGGAAAGACAAGTGAAGTTGGATTTTGCACCCGCTGGGTGTGTGATTTCACATCTGCTGGATCATGCTGGAAACGATGCGAGTGCGAGTTCCCTTCGGCCGCTCTCACTTCGACATTCCCAACCTAAGCTTGGGCACCTCTAACATCATCGAGGCATATAGTTTGTCCAATTACATGTAATGGTCAGTGAACAATTATCACTATTTTAGAGAAAGGCCTTTGCTAACCATCATCATCCACTGAGCCCTGGCCATAGGATAGACCAAACTCTCTATATTCACATCCTTCGATTCTTCAGCTTTTCCCGCCAAGCGCGCCGCTCCCGACCCAAAACCCCGCCCCTTCGCAGCCAGAGACTCCCCAAAACCTCCCCGTCCGCCACTCGACCCGGTCGCCACGACCCGGTGCCCCGGCCGGTGCGGTCCATGGTCCTCGTCCCCCCCGGTCAGGCCCGGAGCGACGCGACCTACTGGCGCGAGGGGCTCAATGGGGCGCTGATGACCGACGCGCTCACCGAGCGGATGGAGGTGGCCGTACTCACGCGCGTGCCGGGGCGACGGGGTGGGCGCGGGGGGGGGGGTAGGCGGGAGAGGTTGGATGTGTGGTGGGTCGGAACGCCAAACCGTGAAGCCCTCCAAAACATCCAAAGCCGAAGCACGTGAAGATCTCTTCAGTATACTCTGGTTTTGGGATTCGGATTCCAGTGGGAAGATGGATCTCCATGGATTTCCTCCGATTGTGGGGGGTGTTTTGGTTTTTCCAACAAATTTGCGGAAAATGGCCACTGGTTGGCCGCACTTGGTGGAGGTCTCGTGAGGTGATCGACCTCTTGCCGATCTATCCAATCATGGAAGAGGGACAGTGTCGGGGGCCGGAGTGTTTCCAGTTCCCAGAGTGGTGTTGTTCTTGCCCATTGGCTAATAGTTGTTCTCAGATTGTTGGTCTTTTTTCATCTCCGGTTTCCCGATGTTTTTGGGGTTCCGAACGTCGGTACTTGGCTCCGACGCATGTTCCGACGCATCGGTCGCGACCGTCGTCCGCCGGCGGGCCGGTCTCGGGTTGCCTGGGCCGGTCCCGAAGGCCGGCGACGAGCCGGTCCGAGCTCTCTCCGAGCCGACGAGGCGTCGTGGCTTTTCGTCTTTACTCCACTGCGAAACGCAGGTGAGTGCCTTTACTCCACTGAAGCGTGAGGCCAACGCCCCTCGGACCACCCCGGTCTTTGGGGGAACCGGTTGGAAAGGGTCTGGGAGCCTGAAGGGTGGCTGACCGGCTTTAGTGATGACATAGTTGGGGGCATTTGGGGGCCGCATGGCTCATGCCCCCACGAACCGTTCGCTGAATTTGTTGGGTTGATCCTCCCGGCAGCAGTTGGCCTCAAACCATTCGAACCCCTTCGGACCTTTGGACGGCCCAGGAGTGTTGGCTTTTCCATGGAACCAGCCACCATGCAGCGGAGGGCATCACCACCGACGACTTTGACATGACCCGAGCGAACCCGGCGGGTGACTTCGACGTAAAAAGAAACCAGTGACTTCGGGTTGACTTGGACATTGTCTTCCGAGCGAAAGTCTGCAGGAACCCCGCATCACTTTTTGGGCCATGGGTTGCGGGTTGCTGTAGATTTTCCCCCTTCAACCCAAAAACCATTGAGGGAAAGGCGCCCGAGCAGTTGGAAGTTGGAAGTGCAATAAAAACTGCCATTGGGCATCATTCGACGAAGATGTGTTGTAGTCCACTCGGAAGTCGGAAGGTCCTCACCAGGTCCTTCAAGAACACCGTCGCGTGTCAAGAAAAGACCGAGTGACGTGGGGTCCGATGCAGATGGAATACAGTGGGGTCGCTCCAATCACTCGAATGGCCTGCATGTAGTATACACTTAGTTCCCCATGACACCTGAAAGAAGTACATCCCTGAAATAGAAATAATCATGGAGGTGGAAAACGTCCCTAGTGAATGACCATGTTCTGAATACCAAACAGATGGTTTCTACTTCCCATGCTTATTTGCAGAGAGTCTACGTCCTTGGTCCCAGGGTGGAACAAAAAGAACGCTCGGCTGTGACGAGAGATTCTCTCGTCGAATCGACTCGGTCGGCTCTTGTGTCGCCCAAGAAACGAAGGCCTCTTCGGCGCGGGTGTCTACTTCGCGGAGTCTGTGAGCAAGGCGGATGAGTATGTGAAGGGGAAGCACGTGGATGGTGCCTGGAGCTGCGAATGGCACGGGTGAATGGGTGATGGAGATGGCGCCAAGATCGAGCCAAAAGGCTGAAGCCGACCGAGCCAGAATTCACTTCCATGCACTTCCCATGTGTTCCAGTGCGCAAGTCACTTGTTGCAGTATTGGCCATTCTTTCAGCTATTTGCTATTTGTTGATCTTGGATGATTTTGGTCAAGCCCCGCTGCAAAGGGTTGGAGATCCGGACGAGAAACTCTCCTGTCCGAGACGTCAGAACGGTGGGTTTTGCTGCAGTTTTCCTTGACGGATCCGAGCGTCTTTTCGGAAGACGGCCAAGATGGGGTCCATCTTAACGAGACGGGGTCCCTGAGCATCCATGCCAGAGATTCTGAGGAGAGGGGGTTCTGACACATGTCGGGGACGCCTGACAAAACCCGGCGAATTGTGAGGTGTAGAGCTCTTCCCATTGTTGCTCTGTCGGGTGTGTGGCTTGGCAGAGACCGCCCGGTGGACCAGGCAGGTGACAAGGCCAGAAAAGGACAGTGTGTACAGGGAGTAGAGTCGAGAACACTGTTTGAAGAGAAGATGCGTGATACGAAGATATCTGGTACAGTATTACAGTATCAACTGCAAGTGATTTCACAGGTGATTAACCCAGTTGGGGCGTCACAATCAGGGCTGCTTTGTGGTGCCAAAGGTCGTCGACTGTACCGGGTGCTGTTCGGGGTGAACCACTTGGTCATCCGCATTATCCTGGACATGCAGAACTTCAGTGTCCATCACTTAACCACTAAGATAAGGGAAGAGTGTCCAGTGCACCCGGTCTCTCTCTCTCTCTCTCTCTACAGGTGGAGAGTTCCACAGAGCGGACCATCAGGGGGCCTGGCCACCTAGGCTTAGGCTACATTTACTACTGCGACCAGCGGAGGCCGTCGGCGCGGGAACTGGAGGAGCACTGCTTGCTGGAAGATTGGCATAGTGTCCTTGGAGATCGTTCCTGGGCGGAGGAGGGAGAGGACATGGAGAGGGGATGGCAGGAGCTGCATCGTGATGGTTTTGTTGGAAGATCGGCGAAGAAGAAGAAGAAGAAGAAGGTCTGTCCCATTCCCTGTGACAGTCAGTGCACAATTAGCATTATCTTTGGACAAGGCCTCTACTAACCATCATCATCCACTGAGCCCTGGTCATAGGACCCAAGGTATTGATCTTGATTTGTGTATTTTATTGCTTGTCGGACGTGCCCAACGTCCGGTGCTTTCACCCTCTCCCCCCGACCCGACCGTGCTGTGGTCACACACCTTGGAGGGGGGTGTCGGTGGCTGCCTTCGGAGTCTTGGAACTCTGGTTGCCCCACCTTGTTCTGCAAGCATGCACTGAGGAAAGAAGACCTCTAACACCTTCCGGGAGTTCATCATTTACGACAACCTTCAAGCCTTCCCCGCTTACATCATTTACTACTCCAGAGAGTACTGAGCCGCAAAAGAATTCGTGCGCTGGAGAGGGGGAGCGGGGGGCCCTGACTTGGATTTCTATGGTGGGCACTTCAGATTTCTTAACTAATGTACACTGATCAGGAAACACCTTCCACCTGAATCCACCTGAATGGTAAAGCATCTCCATATGGGCACCATCGTTTGCCCGAGGGAAATATGGGACACCATCCCGATCCTCCGAGCCGAGAGTTTCTGGATCCAGATCACCGAACCGATCCTCCTTTGAAACCTGATTTGAACCAACCACATCCAAGTCACGATCTGCAGCAAGGGCCTCTTCCGCAACTCGTTTGCCACGCTGAAGAAATCGCCGGTGTCTGGGGCGATTTGCTTGGCATGTGGGACTTTTGTGGCTGTTTGGCTCAAAGATGAAAGATGCTCAAAAAATAGGTCAGGGTTCTGGGGATCTTATGGTGGGCATCCTCCCCCTGTGCAGTTCTACAGAGGCTTCTTGAGTAGCCCCATTTCAGCGGGCCCTCCATTTCTCTCTTGGCACGCGTGAATGATGCCAGTGGTGAAAAGCTGGTCGAGTCGCAGGAGCGGTATATGATGATATAGGCCTCTTAACAGGTCAGTTTGACCTCATGAAAACACTACTCCATGGGCTTTTCAGGACCTCGGTCAGAGTCAGGCCTGTCGGGGTCAGCTTCGTCACGTGGCCGCGGCGGAAGTGGCCGCTTCCGCACGAGCACACCTCGCGCCGCATGGCCAGGCGCGAGCCGCACGCCACGTGGCCGCCGCGTGACCGTCGCGTGGGGGCGGAGGGCCGACGGCACCCGATATAGACCCCCAAAATAGATACAGTGGGATCAGCTTAGATGGCACAATTCCCAAGAGGGGGTTTATATCAACCCCCATCCAAAGGACACGTAGGGGTTTGTGCCATCTACTCTGAGACCACTGTAGTTAAAAGTCGAAAGAATGTATTGGACACCGTTTCTACTCGGGTATCACCATAGACTTCAGCCGTTTGTTGTGTCATGCAGCTATTGAAGCAGCTGTTGAAGCAGAGTCTCAGTTTCAGATCCGGCAGGCTGCATGAGGCTCCTGCTGCCGGCACTCGCCTTGGGCGCAGACGTGCGAAAGAAAAGCTTCTTGGAAGATGGATTGGGCGAACAGAGGTGCACACAGAGGTCGCCCTGAAGGGCGGACGTTGTTGGAAGGACGTGCCGTTTGTTTGTTTGCCCAGCTTGTTCAACAGGAATCGATCTACTGCGTGGTGTGGATAAGAAAACGTTTGGGCCAACAGAATCAGCCTTGCAGGGGGCTTTTCGTAGCGGAAGGGCCTCAACCTGTGCCAAGCTGCTTCAACTTTGCACGTGGCTCTGGAGCAAAACTCTCTTAGCGGTTACTGTAGCTGTTCATTCAGTGGAGAAGGCAAAGGTCGGTTTGGTGCTGGTTTTTGTTGATTGAAGTGGATGGCATGAAGGCATTTTCTCTACACACAGAGGCGTTTCGACTTTCATGATTCATGTTAGTGCATAGTGAGTGCATTCAGGCTGACATACCTGGGTTGAACCATGGAAGCCAGGTCAGAGCACTTCTTTGACCCACCAATGAAGGGTTCCTACAGAGGTCCAATAAGGTAGTCATAAGCCATGTACCTTGCAGTGAGTTCAGTTTCGGGACTCTCAGGCTCTCTTGGATTGCTTGCTGGCCACCGAAGCAAGGGATGCAAGGGAGATTGGACTCGGATGACCTCAAAAACCGTTGGTCAAATGGTGTGACATCTGGACTCAACCACCACCTTTTGGAGTGGACCTTCAGGTGGCCTCACCCTTAAAGGGGTCTTTGTCCTCCCCCTTCGACTCAACCACCTGGACACATCAGGCGACGACTTTTGGACCTGTGCCGACGACCTGCGCTGGCATCGCTTGCGGGAGACGGTGCGACGCGTGGCCAGGGTGTCTTTTTTGTAGTTCTCGGTTTCCTTCGGAAGATGGGAATGGGAGGGGGCGAGGTAGATGCTCCACTTGGGTATATTTTTGATTTACTGTATTTACAGTATATAAGTTTGTTAATGGCTTGATCTCAATCCGACATATGGAAGTTGTGGACGTTCCTTCTATATAGCACCCGCCCTACCTGCCTTCGCCTGCCAGTTGTCCAGCAGCCTCATCCCTCCCTCCCCACCGCTCCGCCGATCCGGCCGGGACGCCGAGGATATGTTGTTTGGAAGCCCGGCGATCCACTGCGCACCTCCGTCGAGGGCTTTGCCACCCTGGTGCCCTTGTGGCTCAGCATCAGCACAGGCCGCAACACCGGGACAGAGAGAGAGAGAGGCGTGTGTGGTGTCATCTGAAAGTGGGGAGGAGTTGCCCGCTGAAAAGCGAACCTGAGGAGGTAGTGTTCATTGAAACTGACGACAGGCGGTCAAATATTAAAAACACACACACACACACATATATATATATATATTGTTGAACTCGCACTGGAGTATTGACCAAATGTAGGGAACCCTGCCC